AGGAAAGAATGGAACGGGGGAGGAAATTAGAGGGCACAGGTGGGCAACATAGAACAGTAGGAAGCGTAGCACCCTTAGGGCATGAAATGATTCATTTCCTGTGGCAGACTTTTTAAGACTTAACCATCAAATTCAGTGACACCTCGGCCCCTCATCCCCTTTTGTTCTATGTTCTTCTGGCCGCAGCAGCCCATTATCACATCCTGTGCATACAGGTCTCTGAGCCAGTGTAGAAAGCAGTGAGGATTTTGTTGTGCCCCACTGGGACTGTGGCACCCACAGTGTTTTTGTTTCGTCCGTGTTTTTGTCATGTTTATTCCTTTCTCCGAATCCTATCATTGTGTTCTTGCAGCTGTGTAACATGAGTGACGCAGTGTTGGATACGTGTGAGGGGGATTTTCAGGGTAAGCTGGCCCCGGCTCCACCGCCACCACTCCACTCCCCTGGCCAGCCCGGCCAGCCCAGCCAGCTGCCCGGCCAATGCCCAGTGTCGCCTGATCCTTCTGATGCCTTCCTGCCAGCCCTGCCAGCTCCCCTCCTCTCTCTGCATGTGGCCCAGACCAAACAATCGCATGCCTGCTTCACTCTTTCTGGCCTTCCCCAACTTCAGCAAGGACCAGCTGAGCCAGGAGTCTCCTTGGTGTTTTGAGATGATTGGCCTTTTTTGTCCCCCTCCCCACCCCCTTTCCCCCATCTGTCTTTCCATTAGACTGAGCTTGGGGAAAATCCTAGCAGTCCTAGCTCTTCTCCTTCCACTCACTCAATTACCAGCTCCAGCTCCCCTTCTCCCTCAGCTGTATGGTTTGCACAGATGACAGACATGTGCCCAATGCTGTCCCTGCACACATGGGATTATTAGGAAGGTGTTCCTGTGAGTAGGTACAGAGCAGGCCCAGAGCAGCAAAGAAGCCATCACCGTGTCGGTGACCCTGATTCACCCTCAGACAAATGCTTAGGACTCATCCTCCCCAGATACTCCTCTCCAGCACTACAAAACATTTGGGAAGCATTTGCATCAGCATCTGCTTGGTACCACCTCCCCGAAAGAGTACAAGCTCAAAACTAAATAAGGAAAGAGCAGGGAGAAGACGGGGAGAAATGAGGCATTTCTGCCTCAAGAAGAAGCAGAGGCCAGAGTTAACCAGGGCCCCCCTCCCATTCTGCTGGTAGGCCTGTAGATTAGCTACAGGGTATTTGGTGTTCACAGACTGATCTCCCAAGGACACTCCTGGAGCTGCCATGAAGCAAGATGGCCCAGCACCCTTCCTTCTACCCAGGAATGCCAGCAAGGGCTTCCCTAAATCTCACTCCTTTGCTATGTGACCCTGGCCCACCAAGGTCAGACAGCTCCCATTAGGACCTCATGCCAGGCTGTGCAGTGTCATGCCATCTCTGAACTACTGTATCTACATTCCTCATCACTCCCTTTTCTATTGACACACGGGGAAGCTAAGAATTTGTCCTAGGACACAGTCCTATTGGGACACAGGCCTAGGTGTTTACATCCAAGCAGGAAGATCCTGTGCTCTTTTCTGATAAGGTACCCCATCCAGTGGAGCAGACCCAGACAGGGACAGAAAGGACAGACAGTCCAGTGACTTCCTGTTAGGCACAAGAGCTTCCTGCTACAGGGGGAACCAGTGGTACTGGCTAAGCCAAGCCTCAAACCCCCTTAAGATCTGCTCCTCAATCAGGCAGCAAGGCAGAGGCAGGTTGGACCCCGTTCTGAAGACTTGGCGGGGTGGAGTGAGGGAGGAGTTTTGTCCAGAGCTTTGGTGTCTGTATAATGTCTTTCAGGACAATGTCCAAGTTTATGTCTGTACACACAGTATGGCATTCCTCAGTCTGAACATTTGTTTTTCATACACACAAACACACAACAAAGACAAAACCCCACCTTCTGAGTATGGCCCAGAGCCTGGTCCCTGCCACATTTCCACCTCATCTCCTGGAGCTCAACCTCCTGCCTGGGTTATTAAGCAAGACTACCTGAAAGGCAGAAACTGGGCAGAGGTGGGAAAATAGTGTGACCAAGAGGAAGGGGTCCAGAGGAGCCCCCTTCCTGTAGCCCTGGGTGTCAGTGAGCTAGAACCCCCAAGCCCCCAGCCTCAGGCAGCAGCTGTAGTAGCCGATGTGGCCTCAGTTGATGGCTCTAGGTAATTCGGCCTTATCTTTGCTGACTCACAGATGTCTAGACACTGAACGCTGTGATGTCTGACTCTTCTTGCTAGGACTTCATACCCCTTCTAATAGGGATGGACGCAGGGGATTTCCTGTAGAAGAAATCACAGCTCCAAGAGCTGCCCCTAACTGCAGCTGTTTATTAAGAGTGAGGATACCCGTGTAGGGTTCCCACATTTATTCTTGTCTCAAGCTCTCCCTGCAGAGTCTAGGCTGAGACAAGTCCCCAAAGGTGCTACTGGAGCCTGCCCAAGAACTCTTGCTTATCAGCTTATTATCCAGCTGAGCAGTCCTGGCTCTCCTCTCCGTCTGAATGACTGGTAGATGCAAGCAGATTCAGCCAGTGTGACTGTTGAGGAGACAGCTTCTATAAATGATCTGTCTGGCCCTAGACTAGCCCAGCCACCTGCTTCCTCACGCTGACCGAGATTGCTTTCAATTTGGTCCTCAGGACCAGAGGCCTCTTTCACCTCCCTCTCTTTCTCTCTGCCAACTTGCAGATCTTGTCCACTTTGATATCCCCTCCATCCACATAGAGCTGGGGTCAACACTCCGCCTGAGCCCCCTGGAGCACGCAAGGCGACACTCGGTGACTGACAAGAGGGACTCAGAGGAGGAATCGGAGAGCACAGCCCTCTGATGCAGCCCCCGCCCCAGCACCTGTACAGATGTGGGCCCGGGGAACACGCCGCCAGGAGCAGCGTCCCTGAGCTTGCCAAGGATCCTCTGTGGGTTCCTTTGCCGTCACCTCCAACTCCAGGTTGGAGTCTGGCAGGAGAGCACAATCTCCGGTCCGTGTGGCAGATGTTGGTGGTGCCGATTTTGTTCATTCCTATTGGGTGGTGACTTCAGCCTTTTGTTTGATCTTTGCCTTTTGACTTCGTGCCTATTTCTGATCATCTTCAGCTTCCCTGCTAAGCAACAGCCATCTCCTCCCCAGGGCTGTGCAGGGTGGGGGTGCAGGAGAGGGTAAGCTACACCCGAGGGTGCTGCCACAGCACATGTGCTACACCTGCAGGGACAGATGCTGTCAGGTCCTACAGCACCCACCTAACAGCCAGAGAAGTGAGGAAGGAGGGGGTACCAGGGCTAGAAATGCACACTCCTGATTCCTATCCTCCTTCACTTGATGCTCAGGGGAGGGCTGGCTCATGGAAAATACCTTTGAGGCTACCCTTAATCATAGGGACCCAAAGCTAATGGCTTAAAGCATTCACTTCCTGGCACTTTTATTCCTCTTGCACCCCCCCTAAGTTACTAAAAAGCCCTTTACTCATTATTGTTTTGTGCTTCCGAGTTGAAAAAAAAAATATCCTGAGCATGTCTGGAGGATCCCAGGTAGCTCCTCATGGCCCCCCTCAAAGCTCATTAGATGCCGAACAGTAATTTTGCCCATCCAGGCACTAAGCTCCTAGCAAAGTGGGGGCCTGGAGCCCATCTCTTCCTTCTAGAGGTTACAGCTGACTAGCAATAATTCTGTTTACCCCAAGGTAGATAGAGGGAAGTGAAACGAGTCCAGACGCGGGCCACACGTGGCCTGTGGGGCAGACCACTCACTCCCCTGCTCCTGCCACTCAACGCTCAGCTCATCCCCCTCACCAAAACAGCCAGCTCTGCAGAGGGCCAGAGGGCGCCGGGAAGCCCACCTGCACTTTGGGGTTAAGGGAGTGAGAAACAGATCTGGGCCATGCATGCAAAGTCCAAGTTTAAAGTTTTATCCTTTTAAAATAAGATATAATATACCTATACATGATATAATATTTGTATATATGAGATCTCTCTATATTTGTTTAATTTGAGCCATTCAATCTAAACCAGTGTACAGGTGTACAATGATAAATTTAAATGCTTAGTTATTTTTTTTTTCCCCCCAACAGTGTAAAGTCACCCTTCTCTGAGAGTGGGATTGGCAAAGAGTTTTGATGTTACAGCTTTGCTCACTTCCTGGCAAGGGCAATTCAATCCCCAATTTGTATCGGAGCCCAGGGGTTGAAGGTTATCTTTAAATACATGTACAAATCATTGTCAAAACTGATGTTATTAAAATAGATTTATTATCCCTGAGCTCAGTGTATGCCCTTGTTTGAATGCCGCTGTGGGGAAGTTAACTGGTGCTGGGTGTTGCTATGGGAGAGCTGAAGGTCTCCACCACAAAGACCAATTTTTTGCTATCTCTCTTACACCCCCTGAGGTTTTAGAGCCTTTTTCCACATACTCCTGTGTTCAGGATGAACACATAGATCCAGCTTTAACTCTGAACATTCTCTTGACCAAGCACTAACCTGTTCTCAAATCCTGCCTAGGAAAGCAAGGAAGTGGGCACGATGTGGGATTTCGCAATATTTCTGGGGCAAACATTCTGTCATCATGGGGCAAAAAAGAACAAGTGAGTTGCCTCCTCTTTTTTTTTTTTTTGTACCAGTACTTAGAACCACTGTGCCTTAGTTCTTTTGCTAGTGCTCTACCATTTGAGCCACTGCTCCACTTCCAACTTTTCTGGTGTTAAAAGTCTCAGGGACTTTCTTATCTGGGTTGACTTCAATCCTCAGATCTCAGCCTCCTGAGTAGGTAGGATTACAGGTGTGATCCCCCAGTGCCCAGCCTACAGTGGGAAGGATGGTGTCTGGATACCTGCCTGTCCTAGCCCAGCCAGCGCTAACTCGTTGCATCTTTTGCCATTACTACCAGACCAGGACATATTGAGGGGTGATGGGTGTCTGGAAATGGGCTTCACAGGCCTCTTCTGCCTCTGATGCTTTCCTGGGCATGCTGAGCACCCCGCATGCTGAAGACCTTGTTCTGAAGCAGCACCAAAGAACTCGGATTCCAAACTCAAGCTTTATTGCACCTGATTCTTTGGAATACTACTTCTGGAGTCTGGGCTACTTAACCAGCTTCTCCAGTGTGCCAAGGGAACCAGTGTGCTGGAGGTAAGGCGCTGCCCATTTCCATGTGTGACTCCTCATTTCCACTGTCTTCCACCACACAGCCTCCTGTCCTGCAGCTGTGGCAGGCACCAGTCATGGGTGGTGTCTGGCAGATCAATGCTAAGCCAGAACCCATGCAGGACTCCACACTCCTGTCCTGAGTCATTCCTCCTGGCAGAAGGCACTCTCGGACTCCCACGGGGATGAGAGAAGCAGGCATCGGTGCCATGTAGAGCACAAGATGCAGCCTTTGGAGCTCACTGGGCTCTGAGCTTCTTGCTCTGTGGGCTCTGCGGCCCCTCCGCATGGGCCCGTTTCTGCTGGGGCTCCCTGTCCACCGGGCTGCCTGCCTGCTCCTGAGACAGGAGGGCAGCCCGTACCATCCTCAGCTCCCGCTTCTCCCTGCGCTCCTCCATCTCCTCGATATCACCAGCAAACAGGGCTTTCAATGGTGGAATCAACTTGGGCACGGTTGGGAAGTCTCCAAAGCAGATCTGGAGGGCCAGACAGGGCAGAGACACGCTCAGAGAGGCAGGTGAGGGAGGGGGCTGCAAGTGCAGAGACTGCCATAGCAGGTCCACTCCCCCCTCCTTACACACTCTTAAACCAGCAACTACTGCTTGAAAGGGGGATGTGGCGAGTGGGACAAGCCCTCCAAAGAAAGCACCTTCTCCTGGGTGAGGGCAGCAAAGATGAACAGCCCTCAGGAAAGGGAAAGCAGCCCCCCTCCACCCCCCCCCCCCCCCCCCCCCCGCTTCAATCAAGCTCCTAAAATCTGAAGCCAAGGTCATCCCAACCCCGCCCCTTCAATGGGAAGGCCCAAGGGATGGGCCCAGCCCCACCACTCATGTGGTGAGAGTACCTGTCCCACAGCTCTGTGCTGAGGCCACAGTGACTATGTCAACTGTCCAGGCCTAAGAGAGGCTCAGGAATCTGAACCTGACATTTCTGAAAGATCCTACAGGGCACTGCGACCCGCGGACTTGCGATGGACAGCAGTGGGTGCTCTTCCCTGGCCCGGGGGGGAAGTGAGAGATAAAGCCCATCATCCCCGTGTCCCCACCCCTCACTGTTTGAGCGACAGGCCAACCTTCATGTGGTCAAAGGCGATTCCGACTTTCTCGTTGAAGTCGGGGCTGAAGATGGGGATCTTGGCATAGCGCTGGCTGAAGTGGTTAAGCATGATGAACTCTGCATTCATCCGCATCCCCACACCAATAGCTTGGGAGGTGGTGCTGGGGGCAGAAGACAGGGCAGAGAGAAGCTGGAGAGAGGAGTAAGGACTGGCCCCAACCCTAGCCTTCCTGCTGCTTAGGGACCTAGGGATGGAGAGCAGATGTTCTTCACTGGCGCCTCCTTACCAGTGCAAATGCTCCTTAGGACTGGAACCTTCCCACACTTCCTGAGGGAGGTCCACACTCCATACTGGCTGCAGGCTCAATCGGAGGAAAACTCTAGGGCTTGCTAGGGTCCAAGAACTCTTTCCTTGAAACGGCTCCATACTGAACCCCTGTGACACCCTCCCCGCCATCCTTCCCTAGAACCTCCTAGAAGTGACTCCCTTTTTAATCTAGCTAATTTTTCAGACTTTGAAAACACTGTGCTTTTCTGGACACCCTTGCCTAGAGGAACTGTGATAAGAGGCACAAGACTCCTGAGACTCGCTGTGGGCCCAGGAAAGCCATAGCCCTCAGAAGGACACTGTCCTATGGGCCTGGGCTGCTCAGGTTGCATTTGACAGAGGAAAGGGACCTTGCTACCTGTGTGTCTTTTCTATGGCTTCCATTTCCAAGCCATCCTCCAGAGTGGCTTCATGAATCAGCAGGGTGGCATCTTTCCCTAGAGAGCAAAACAGTGTCAAGGCTAAGTCCTGCGGATGAGCAACATGTGGGTGCCAGAATCCCCCACCATGACCTGACCCAAAAGCTCAGCTCTCTGGGTCTGCACGGAAGGATGGCAGCCAGATGACAAGGAGCGTGGGAACCACCTGCTGACTGTGTTATCCTCTGCATGGTCATCTGCACACATGTGCCCCCTCCCCAGCCCCCCCACCAGGGGACCCAGTGAAGTTCACTTCTTCCTCTGCTTACCTATCTGGACCAGAGCCTCGCAGGGCATGGTATCCCCAGAGTATACCACTTTCCAGCCAGATGTGTGCACCAGTGCACAGCCAAAAGCATGCTTGCAGTGCCGGACCAGGCATGTCTGAAACTGAAGGAGCAGGCTGGAGATCTGCATCCTGCCCTGCCTGCCTCTCCTGCTCTCCTCCGGGCAGGTGGCTAGGCTCCCTTACCTCTTCCAAATCACAGGTTTTTAACAGTGATCGGATCAGACTTTCCATTGAGGGGTCTGAGACCTCGGCTTCTTGACGAAGGCATTTGGCAGGAATCATACTGCAAGTAGTCAAAGCATTTAAAAATTATAATAGCTAGGTGCTAGTGGCTCATGCCTATAATCCTAGCTTCTTAGGAGGGTGCGATCTGAGGACTGAGGTTAGAAGCCAGCCCATTCAGGAAAGTCTGTGAGACTGTTATCGCCAATTAACCATCAAAAAGTCAGAAGTAGCCAGGCGCAGTGGCTCATGCCTATAATCCTAGCTACTCAGGAGGCTGAGATCTGAGGATCGAGGTTCAAAGCCAGCACGGGCAGGAAAGTCTGTAAAACTCTTTTCTCCAGTAAACCACCAGAAAACTGGAAGTGGGTGCTGTAGCTCAAGTGGTAGAGCGCTAGCCTTGAGCTGAAGAGCTGAGGGACAGCACCCAGGCCCACGACCAATTAAAAAAAAAAAAGAAAAGAAAAAGAAAAGTCAGAAGTGGAGTGTGGTTCAAGCAGCAGAGCACCAACCTTAAACAAAAAAGCTAAGGGACAGCTCCCAGGCCCTGAGCTCAAGACCAATACCAACACACACATGCGCATGCATATGTGCATACACACACACACACACACACACACACACACACACACACACACACACACACACACACACACACACACACACACACACACACACACACACACACACCTTAGAATAAAACATTCAGAAATACTCATTTAAGGCTGGGCACTGGTGGCTCACTCCAGAAATCCTAGCTAGTCAGGAGGCAGAGATCTGAGGGTCATAGTTTGTAGCCAGCTCAGGCAGGAAAGTCTATGAGGCTCTTACTTCCAATAAACTACTCAAAAAAGCTGATAGTGGTGCTGTGGCTCACGTGGTAGAGTGCTAGCCTTGAGCAAAAGCTCATAGACAGTGCCCAGCCCGAGTTCAAGCCCCAGCACTGGCAAAAAAAAAAAAAGAAAAAAATCATTAACACTTGCCATCTAAATCCAGTTTGGGGATTAGAAAGTCTCCAGTCATTCTTTTTTTTCCCCCACTCAGACAAATGTCTTTATTTTTTGTTGGGCTGTGGGGGCGGCAGCAGGGGCTGGAAGCAGGGGGCTTCTCCCAAAAGTCCTCTCTGCTTTGCATGTCTCAGATCCTCAGTGCAATTTTGGGGGGGACTGTTTTGAGATTCTGCTTGGCTTAGCAGTGAGCAACAGCCTGGGTGAGCCCCAAATACGTACTTCCTGGACACCCATCATTCTTATAGGAGAAAAACAAGTCACAGCCAGTAAGACAGAGACACCATAAGCAAACAAAAAGAGCCAGGCCCCACCTCCCTAACTGTAAGGAACAACCAACAAAATGTTCCCCTTGGCCCAAGCAATGCGGGCCACGGGCAAATGGGGTCCTTCCCTGTGTGGTGGGCATGGGGCCATCTCCCCTCTGCCCCACCTTCTGACGTGGAGGGGCTCTGTACTGTAGGATGAGGGGCCGGGAGCATCTCTCACTGCCCTGGTGTTGACCGTGGGCTCTGGAAGGCAACAGCTATGGAAGGATGGGCCACTCACCTGACATGGTGCAGAATCTGCTGGCACTGGTTGTGGTATTGCTGCAGCCAGGGTCTGAGCTGGGTGGGGGCTACCACCAGCAGGGGGTGGAAGGGCTTCCCTAGGGCTGCCTGAAATGAAATTCCAGAGCAGTTACCACAGGAACTCCTTGGCCATGGTCTGGAGCAGCTCACATGGCTGAGGAAGCGTAAACCCTACAAAACCCCAGTGTTGACAAGGGTAGCACTTACCAAGGCACGTTCTCTCTCCAGCAGGATGTGCAGCAAGCCCTGCAATGGAGAGAGACCTGCATCAGCCGGCTCCACAGTCTCTAACCCCATGGGGCCCTGGAGTCCTCACTTGACAAGCTCCCAGCCCTGTGTGCCTGGCCCCTCAAGCACCCCTGCTAGTGGGTGTAGCACTCAGCTTTGAAATGGTACAGGCAGAATGCAATGAGACATGGAAAATAAAAAAGGGCACTGGGCAGGGGTCCAGTATGCCCTAGACCAAAGCCAAGGCCTCACAGCCACACCCACACCTAGCCAGTTCCCTCTGGGCCAGCTGGGAGGAGGCAAAAACCTGTAACAGCTGAGTCACCAGATGCCAACAATTCATGCCTGTAATCTGAGCTGTTCAGGAGGAGGAGCTCGGAAGAGTTAATTTCAAAGCTAGCCTGGGCAGGAAAAATCTATGATATTCTTAGCTCCACGCAACCATCAAAATAAAAGTTCAAAGTGGAGCTGTGACTCAAGTGGTAGAGCACCAGCCTTGAGCAAAGAAGCTAAGGGACGGTACCAGGCCCTGAGCTCAAGCCCAAGGACCAGCAAAAATGAATGGCACTAAGTGAAGCTGACACCCATACTGGCCAGACCAGGCTGGACCTTCATCTAGCAAGAGATGAGTGGTAAGAGCCACAGCAAGTTTGGTAACAGCAGCAAAGTGGCCTAACACACAGCCTAGAGGAGGTAGCACCTCCCTGAGGGCGAAGGCTCTGGGGTGCAGGCAGCCCCACTTACTGTGTGGTGGTCTGCGTGCAAGTGGGACACAAACACAGCAGCCAGGTTCGCCAGGACCTGATCCACTTGCTCTCCATAATGGCGGTACAGCTGCCCAAACGTGCCTTCGCCGCAGTCCAGTAGCAGAGACTTTTCAGGACTACAGGAGACAGTGAGAGACTTACCAATAGGAAACACTTCAGATTGCTTAACAAAATGGCCACAGCCATGAAAATTCCCACCTCTTCCGTAACCTCTCATGACTTTTCCTTGAGGAGCTGATATAAAATCCAGTTCTTGAACCATAAAAGTAACTTTAAAAAGGTCTGAAGGACAGAGACAACAGTGTGCAGGTGATGAACGAGGGGGAAAACACAGGTCTGAGAATGCTAGGGTGGCAATGTCACTCTGTCACATAAGACTGTCTCCAGTTCCTGTTCACAGGATTCCTCCCCTCTCCATGCAGTCCCAGTTTCCCATCCGCATTCCCAAAGCCATCCAGTGCAGGCTAGGTGATAAGATGGGCCAGAGGAAGAGCTATGTGTGCTTCCTCCAGAGAGGCAGTGAGGGCTGAATAAACCGCTCTCAGAAGGAGCCCGGAGGGCCTGATTCTGCCGGTGTCATGCTCAGCAGTGTGTTTTGGAGACTTTGCTCCCAGGTGGAGATAGAGGTGCACCCTTGGGCATGTTTTCCTTTTTCTGGGGGAGCATGAAGACAGAGACAGCACCCATTCAAAGAGACCCCTCCCGGAAAAGGCAATGCCTTCCCAGAGACAGACTACGCCCGTCCTTCTGATTAACTGCCACGGGTTCAGGTAGCCAGGCTCAGGGTTGAAGATCAGAAACCAGAGAAGTCCTTAGAACGGACCAGCTTGCCCTGAGCTGCTTTACTGCTTTTCTTATGCCCTAGATTTGCACTTTCTGATCTTGGGGAACAGGGCCGGGAAGTAGTGATAACACTGCTGCCAACCATTGCTGCATTATTTGGCAGTTTCCCATCCACCACTGGCACCCAAAACAACGATGAGAAATTTACCTTGTGCCTCACAATCCCAATTCCTTCATACATGTACCCTGTAGACGTGCATGCACACTTTAGCCCTGCCAGTAAGTGACCTCCAGCAATCCCCGGTGCATCAAGCAAAACCACATGTCAAAGGAAATCCAGGAGGGCGGGTCACCTAAGTGCACCAAACCCCCACAGCGTAAACAGACCTAGCACTAAGGAGTTGAAATAGTTAGAATACCAATCCATAAACTCCATATATCCACTACCCCATCGGTTAATGAGAAAACGAAGTGACATGATTTCTTGGCTCTTCTTATGAAAGGTCATCAATGGATGAGTTGGGGCAACTCTACAGGTAAAAGGTTGCTAGAGTGGCTACACGATCCAGTAAAGCCAGAACTCCAGCTCTGCTCTCAGACACTCTAGCCAAGGTGACAGCTCACAGCTCTGAGGGGTGGAGGTTTACTGTCAAAGGAGGAGTACCTTATGTTGACCAGTGTGGCGCTAACGTTCCGAATCTTCATTGGGATGGCAGACCCTGTCCCCAGGAAGACGACTTCTGGATACTGGTTTCTTTTCTCTGGAAAAGTTGTCTCAGCTTTCAGTGACAAGGTAGGTAAGCAATACAGTGAAGCCCTGACTCCTGCCTTCACCCTCCTTCCTCACCCGTGACATAGCAGGCTCTCAGTAAGGAAGAGGCACCTGGGTGGAGAAGCCAATACACCCTTCCTTTCTTTAAAACAATCTCTTACTTCTTTTTTTTGTGTACAGTATTGGAACTTGAACTCAGGGCCTGGTTCCTTTCCCTTAAGGCCATTTTGCTCAAGGCTAGTACTCTACATTGAGCCACAGCTCCACTTCTGCATTTTTGGTGGTTAACTGAAAGTAAGAGTCTCAAGGACTTTCAAGCACAGGCTTTTCTTTGAACCTTGAGCCTCTATACTTTAGCCTCCTGAGTAGCTAGTGGTACAGGCATGAGCCACCAGCACCCAGCCTCTAATTTCTTTTAAATGAAGAAATGTTCTGAATGGCCATTTACTCTCCAAGGGTGGGCATCTGCCAGGCATTCTGACTTTTCCAATCTAAACATTCTCACAACCCCGAGGGACAGGGGCCCACTTCCGCACAGGGGGAAGCAGGAATGGAAGGATGGCCTCCTAGGAAATAGGAGTCAGGCAGCAGTCAAACCCAGGGAGATCTGGGGATTCCGAGTCCTGTGCCCCTTTCTCAGTTCACCCAGTCCACCAGGCCCTGTCATTTTTACAAGTTCTCATGGACCAAGCAGTCTTCAGCATACACACATCAGAACTCCAATCACAAAAGGAGGAAATCAACTCCAGGAGGTAAGCGACACACACAGCAAGAGGAAGTGAGGTGCTGGCCACCGCTGGTTTGTCTGGTGCCAGCCTCCACAGGGATTACGTTTGGCAAATGGTCAGCTGGCTGGATTGGACCCTCCTGCCACTCTGTTCTATTCCCTCATCCCCTTGTAAGCATTATCGCTTGGTGAGAAGTGTGTCGTTAAAGGCACGAGTGGAAGTAACAAACCCTCTAGCTACTTCTCCTGATGGGCCATGAGAAGCTCATGTGGCGAGTGACCTGACCAAAACCTCCATGAGCCTTCCTTACCAAACCCACAACCCGACCCATGTCAGCACAGTGCCACTTAAAGCTCTCCACAGAGCCAGGGGCTGGTGGCTCACACCGACAAATCCTAATTACTCAGGAGGTTGAGAATTGAGAATCAAGGTTCAAAGCCAGCCTGTACAGAAAAGTCCCTGAGACTCTTATCTCCAAATAAGTATCAAAAAGCCTTATGTAGAGGCATGTCAGGTGGTAGAGCACCCAGTATTGAGCAAAAAAGCCGAATGAGCGTGAAAGGCCCTCAACAACACCTGACATTGGGTTTACAGGTAAACATTGGGTTTACAGATCTGGATGTGGCATGGGCTCTGGTATTTTTAAGCCCCTTGAGCACCACTTGAATGCAATGCTAGAATTAAGGAAGTCAGGTTAAATAAAATGTACATGTCAACACCCTGGTTAAGGTAGTGACAGTTCCTGCACACAGGAGACCAGGAGGGGCTCCCTGGTCTTGGCTTACCTGCTGGGGCCAGGCTATCCTGCGTGCTCTTCCTATACTCCTGCACGCTCTCCTGGAAGTTGGGGAGCTCCAGGACCTCAGCTATGAATTCTTCAGGGTTGCAAGTAATAACAGCATCCCTGCAGAGAGAGGGGCATCTCGGGTGACTAAAGTGGCTGTGTGGTTTCTGCAAATACTGGTTTACACGCAGAGATAAATCCAAGGAACAAAATGTTCCCTCACATCAACTGAGAAGATGATTCCATTGCAACTGCAACCTGAGGAACTCTATTCTGCCTCTAGAAACTTCTGAGGCCTGCAATAGTCTGTTATACCTCTGGAACTTTCCTCAGCTAAGGCCTGGGGAGTTCTATTCTGGTTCTGGAACCCTCCTCAGCTGAGACTTGAGGAATTCTATTCTGCTTCTGGAACTTTCTAGCTGAGACTGGAAGAGTTCTCTTTTACCTCTGGAACATTCCTCAGGTGAGCGCTGAGTAGTTCTATTCTGCCTCTGAAACCTTCCTCAGCTGAGATCAGGGAGTTCCATTCTACCTCTAGAACCTTCTTCAGCGGACTCCTAGGGACTTCTATTCTGCCTCTGGAACCTTTCTCAGCTAAGTGGGTTCTATCCCTAAGAGCCCTGAATGGATTTTTTTCTCTTCATAATCCGCTTCAACCTCAAGGCCTGACATGCAGACCCTAATGATACTCAGAACTGGATGGTTCTCCTTTGTGACAGGGGCTGTCCTGTGCAGTACCCAGACCTCTAACCGCTAGTATCACTTCCCCAAGATCATGTCACCTACAAATGTCTCTATAGTACCCATGGCCCACTGGAAGCGTGGCCCCAGACAGTAACTCAAATTCAGGTGCACACAGCTATTCTTGGGAACTTGGGGAAGATGCAGACCCTGACTTGTTAGCTGTGGGAAAACGAAGCCTACATTTGTAAGCGTTTGCCTCCCTCGAATGCTGCGTCGCTGGTCCTAACCTCACTGAGTCCTAACCTTAGACTGGGCACAACCTGGCTGGGACTAAAACCACTAAGCACTAACTCTCCAGAACCTAGTTTATAGGTCTGGCTAGGTCCCAAGAATTGCACCTATCACAAAGCACACAATGAACCTGACTACTGATGAAGGTCCCCACGACCACATCCTAATAGCCTATGCAGATTGGCAAAGGGACATGGCAAGCCATCCAGCAGGAGGTGCTGTTGAGTCCTACCAGAGTCTTTCCAGGAGAGCTAACAGGTACTCAGGATAGTAGCACATGGCACCTAGTCACTGTCCAGAATAGGATCTACTCTAACTGCTGACACCAAGTGGCCAGGACACTTCAATCACTGTGCTTTCAGATCTCCAAGAATAAGAGTCGCAGCTGAGGCGTTCCAGATGGCAATTTTATGTTTATCAGGGCCTAAAGCGGTGTCACACCGTGACCCACTAATCTCACATCTATGAGTGGGAACTGTTCCATTCAAAGATTTGTATGTCATTTGCAGCAAAGAACTGACTTACTGAGTAAACATCTCTATCTGAAAATCCAATTAAAATCATGCTACTAGAGCCTAACAATGAAGGAACAATGTCAACCTAAAACCCCAAATATGTGCTTTTTAAAATACATCCCCACAGTCACAAACACCAACATAGCATGAGAATCACACCAGGTGGCAGGATGGCCGGTGACTGTCCCACATGCCCTAGTTTCTAAGAAATGCAATGGAAAGCAATGAACCCTAACTTGTACTTGTTGCCATGAAAAACAATTTTTAAAAGGGTAAATACTGTCCTTAATCATCCCAGCTCAATCCAGACACGACTCAGGCTGTTTTCCTAAATCAATGTTGTGTGGGCACACATCCGTTCCTATTCATTTACATACTGTCTGGGGCTCTTTTTTTTTTTTTTTTTGGAGTCTGGTCATGGGGCCTGAACTCTGGGCCTGGGCGCTGTCTCTCAGCTCTTCAGCTCAAGGCTAGGGCTCTACCCCTTGAGCCACAGTGCCACTTCCGGCTTTTTTTCTTTTTCTTATGTGGTGCTGAGGAATTGAACCCAGGGCCTCAGGCATGCAAGGCAAGCGCTCTACCACTGAGCCACCTTCCCAGCCCCATGTCTGGGGCTCTTCTGAGACTACATGATGAGAAAAACGTATGGAAACACCCACCATCTGGCCATTTGTAGGAAAGCTCCCCAAGCCCTGGCCTAGAGGGAGCCCTCAGCGCAGAACCACACACACCTCTGCCACTCCCTCCTGGGGCGGAGCTGGTACTTGAGGAGGCATTCACCCTGAACCACAGGCACACTGAGAGCCGGCCCTTCCTCCTGAAAGAGACAAGAACATAGTCCATGGCCAAAGGAAAAAGACAGGAGCTGGTGGACAGGCACTGTTCTGGGACGCTACCTTACTGTGGAAAGTGGTGAGTGGAGGGAAGATATCCGGGTGGATGAGGTTGAGCTGCGTTTGAATCTTGTGGCTGCGAAGATTGTGGACTGACTCACATTTCTTATTCAGGATCAGGTGCTGGGTGTCAGGCCCAAACCTAAGGTGAAATGAGAGTGAGGGCTGAGAGTGTGCATCAGGGAACTACTCACCTCAGGGATGGCCCAAGTAGGTTAAAAGCCCTAGAAGACAGCCATATTAGTCACTCGCCCCCGAGTATCTACAACACAGCCCAACATGATCTTGCTGCTTCTGCCTCAAGGCCCAGGGTTCTCTCCCTAAGGCAGCTGTCCTTAGGATAAGCTGCTTGAAAACAAAAAACAAAAAAAAGACAAGAGAAAAATCAAGCAAAAATAAAGAGATTTTCAACTAAGGATGTGAAATCAACATGGAGTACAGGCTGCAAGAGAAAAGCCGAAGAGGAAAATAGATACGGTGTATGTCATGATTTAAACCCTTAAGGAACAAAAGTGAAGAAAATGAAACCACCAGGCACAGACAGGCAAGCTATGGGAGCGTGGAAAGATGGAGGTAGATTTGAGTCAAATGTTTGCTCCAGCTGAGAAGAATCCTATGCAAGCCTTCAGCTTTGTGAATCCTTTGGAGAGAACGTTAAACCAGGTGTGGGTAGCTCATTCCTATAATCCTAGCTACTCAGAAGGTTGAGATCTAAGGATTGAAGTTTGAAGCTGGCCTGAACAAAAATGTATGTGGGACTCTTATCTCCAATTAACCACCGAAAAACTGAAAAGGGAGCTATGGCTCAAAGTGGTAGAATACCAGCCTTGAGAAAGGAAGCTTAGGGACAGTGTCCAGGTCCTAGGTTTAAGTCCCAGTTGTCATGAAGACTAAAACAAGTAAAGTATGAATAAATACTTTTATGAAAAATGAAGTGAAACAGGGAGTGGCAAACAGCAACCTAAGTCAACACACACCTAGTTCAACTCTTTCATTGGATGCTGGCCTTGGCCTATGAAACCATGAGGAAAGAGAACAGGGCTCTCTTCCCAGTTACCAAATGTCCCAACAAGACAAGCTTGCTGGAAAGGAGAGGGAGACGACTGTAGTGTACAGCACGTAACATATGCCTGACACAAAATGGGTGTTCAGTAAGCAGAAATGATTACTTTCTATTGGCAGGTCTCTTCTTTAGGATGCACCAGTGGAATGTCAACTAAAAGACACCCCAAGAGTACAGCGGGTGACCATGACCAACAACAGAGCTCTGTACAAAGGGGAATGTATGCACACTGTGCCACCTACTGGTGGCTCTTTCCATACTACCACAGAGGGGCTCTCCCAAAATACTCCAAAGCAGGAATCACAGAGGTTGGTGCAGGCTCAAGGGAGAGGGTAGACAGTGCTCAGAAAGGAAGAAATATACCCCAAGGGTTACCCTGTGTTCCATACCTCTCCATCCATTGCTGGTATCTGCTGTCCATGAGCACAGACTCTGGGGCCATGTGGACCACCAGGGCCACTGGAGTGTTGGGGTTTCCCTGGTACCTGGGAGGACCAAGGAAAAGTGGAGTTTTGCTTTATATGGTGATAAAAATAAAAAAGAGTACTTACAAACAAATACTGTGTAGCTGGGGGGGTGGGGGGACTCTCAGTGCTACACTCAGGCTTGGTCTCCAAGTAGCTCCCAGTGGGGTCAGTGTACTGCCCATGACCCTGCTCCATGGGGTTCCTGTATTAGATAAGCCTGGTTTAGGTATCTGGTCTACCTAGCTGAGCCTTTCCATGTCATGCTGTGGAGTAGACAGGGACAATGCGTGGGATAAAGTAGGGAGTGGCTGATGAACCTACTCTGGATGCCTTTCCTGTCCCTTCCCTGCCTGCTCCAGCTCCCTCTCCTTCATCTTGAATTAACTGTTCACTTCATTGGTCTCCTTTATCTCTACTCCAAGCCTGGTGTCTGCCTTCTGTCTTCTAATTCTACCATGTAGAGGCAGACAGCTAATATGATTTGTTTCCTTCTAGTTTTTGATATGTTAAAAAAAAAAAAAACAACTCTCATGTAGTAGCTGTTTCACCACCCCAGACATGGACCTGGCTCTCAGTGATGATATCTTAGCAACGTCAATAGCTTTGTGCTCAGAGTTTGACTGGAACACGCAGGATGTATGCTACCAGGCTACCTCGCCCTGAGAATAAAGTGAGCCTAGTAGGGACTCCCACTACGCCAATGTGGAAGGGGTACAGCAGCCCAAAAGATGTGTATATGTAGAATGTAACAGCAAGTAAAATTAAAAAAAAGATAAGGACAGGAAAAATACAGATAAATCATTAAGAATGGGAGAACATTTTAAACACACACATGTAGGTCAGAGATGCTACCTAGAATTAAAGCTGGACTGAAAAACTTCTCAAGCAGGACAAAACACTTAGGCCTAAAAGGTGTCCCCAGCTGAGATTCTGTCCCTTAACACAGGCTCTTAAAAGCACATGGTATCAGACTTCCAGACCCCGGGAGGCTAAGTGTAGTTAAGTCAGAAAAAACCATGTAGGTAAAAATAATCCCAACAGTGGTTTGGGAATTATTTACAACTTAAAGTTCTACAATTTATTGCAGACTTAAACCTCTTAAGAGTTATAATCCTTAGTGTTTCTGGACTTCAGTCTTTGAGGCAGTATTACCACAGAGAGCATGCTAACCACCAGTTACCAGGTAAAAAGTGCCGGTAGGATGAATGGGCATTTCCAACCCAGTGACCAGCTCTCTTCCCACAGGTGGCCACCCACTGAGTAGTGGCCGCTTTGCTGCCTTTTTCCTTCTTCCACCTGCACACCCTCCTCTTTACCTCTTAAAGGTATCATTCTCACAGATGGGCTGGATGAAGCCTTCATCTGGACATTCAACCACTATAAATGCAAGACCAGGATCTGGGGGTGTACACAACTCTTCAGCCAAAATCTGCAAAACCAAATAAACCAGTTCATCGGGGTCAGGATGCGCTTCCAAAACAGTCAAAGCTTAGTTCTAAAAACAAATGGATTGAGGCAGCTGCTAACATCACACACCCCATAGTCGTCTACACAGGACATGACACCAGCATAACAGGGCTCTACCTGAACTTCCTGCTGTTTGTACTAACCAAGTAGACAACCTGGAAGACAGCTCAATCCTGTAGTGACAGGAGCAGAGGCTGGTCATTCAGGGTTTCTTTTTGATGCCAGAAAAAACATCTTGAAGAATGTGGTATATTCCTTGAGGCCAGGCATTCAAAGCCCATCCATATGGCAAGTTTTGGACACTGTCCTGAGCTCATATGAGGACAGGAATCCATCCATCCCTGCAAGTCTACCAGATCCTGAACAATCTACAGAAATGTCCGGGCATAGCAGTGATGGGTACATGTCTGAATAAGACCTCCAACTTGGAGCCCGTGACAGAATTTCATACTATCCCACTTCCTTCAGAAATTGTATCTGAAACCCAGGTGCCGGTGGCTTACATCTGTAATCTTACTCAGGAGGCTGAAACCTGAGGATTGCAGAAAAGTCCCCATGAGACTCTTATCTCTAATACACTACTCAAAAACTGGAATCGATGCTATGGCTCAAAGTGGTAGAGTGGTAGCCTTGAACACAAGGAGCTCAGGGACAGCCTAGGCCCTGAGATCAAGGCCCACAACCACAGGGGGAAAAAAAAAAATGGTGTATCTGAGACAGGTTATCAGTGGCTCAGGTGTCTAATCTAACTACTCCAGAAGCTGAGATCTAAGAATCACAGTCCAAAGCTAGCCTGGGTAGAAAAGTCCGTGAGATTCTTATTTCCTATTAATCATCCAAAAGCCAGAAGTAGAGCTGGCTCAAGTGGTAGGGCACTAGCCTTGAGCACAAAAGATCAGGGACAGTACCCAGGCCCTGCGTTCAAGCCCCATGTACAGTACCAAAGATAAATTTTTAAAAAAATGTTGTATCTGATAAGCTAGGCACTAATGGCCATGCCTGTAACCTTAGCTCCTCAGGAGCCTGAGATCTGAGGATCTCAATTTGAAATCAGCCTGGGAAAAAAAGCACATGAGACTCTTTTTAATTTTTTTTTTTGTTTGGTCAGTCGTGGGGCTTGAACTCAAAGAAAACCCAATTACCTCTAATTAATCTGGAAAAAGCCAGACACAAGGTGTGGCTCAAGTGGTAAATGCCAACCTTGAATAAAAAAAGCTAACAAACAAGAGCACAAGGTCCGGTCCAAACCCCAGTGCTGGCACACACACGAAAGTTGTGTCTGAAGACCTGGTTAGACAGGGGCTCTGCCCGGTCCACTTGCAACTGCAGAATCCTCGCAGGAGCCATGGCTTACCTCTCTTCCTTCATGAATAATGCTCTTCCCGTCCTTGACGGCTGCAATGATGGGGGCGATGGCAGCTGTCCCCCTGAAACAAAGGGTAGGCCCTCCATGAGAGGCGCTCTGTGAGCACAGGCAGACCCACCTGGCCACCAGCAGCCCCACCCTCACCCACCACTCACACGGGGAGGCCCAGCTCCTTTGCTTTGAGCACCAGGAAGTTCCCTTTCTTCATGTGCAGCTGAAACACAAATGTAATCTCAGTGCCTGGTGAAGAAGCTTGGTTGAATCAACTTCATTAAAAAGTGCATCTAGGGGGCTGGGAAGGTGACTCAGTGGTAGAGTGCTTGCCTTGCAATGCATGATGCCCTGGGTTCGATTCCTCAGCACCACATAAGCAAAAAAAAAAGAAGAAAAAAGCCGGAAGTGGCACTGTGGCTCAAGTGGTAGAGTGCTAGCCTTGAGCTGAAGAGCTGAGGGACAGCACTCAGGCCTAGAGTTCAGGCCCACAACCGGACATTAAAAAGTGCATCTAGGGCTGGGAAGGTGGCTCAGTGGTAGAGCGCTTGCCTTGCATGCCTGAGGCCCTGGATTTTATTCCCCAGCACCACATAAGCAAAAAGAAAAAAGCCAGAAGTGGTGTGGTGGCTCAAGTGGTAGAGTGCTAGCCTTGAGCTGAAGAGCTGAGGGAGAGCGCCCAGGCCCAGAGTTCAGGCCCCACAACCGGACCCCCCCAAAAAAAAGCACATCTAGTGTTTGTAATTCTTTGTTAAAATGCAGTTGATTATTTTCAGAAGGCATTATGCTATTCTGACGTTGTTTGTTTTGAGATGCTTTAGAACTGAGACCTAAATGACTTTAAAACTGTGCTATATTCCCCAACATTATCTTGTTATATATTTAACAAAATGTAATCCTTTACTGCATCCTAGTTAATGATAAGGATCTTTACATATCTGTACCCTTTGGAAGAAACAGGAGACATGGGTTATGTGTTATCCTATATTCACCAACTTCTAAAGAAACATCACCAAAACATGGCCTAAAAAGCAATGACCAATTAGAATTCTGCATAACATAATACTGCAGTTGACACTGGTGGTGACCCAAAAGAAAAAGTATGCTTCGACCATCGGGTAGTGTAGTGCTGTTGCTGTTATATGGAGAAGAATTACAGTAACCTATTCCCAATCTGTTCTTCTTATGATAGAAGGCAAACCACCATTCTAGCACAAAACCTAGCACCATTCTGATTCCACCATCACTCTCTTGCTAATCTTCTGTCTAAACATTTTGAGACCTACAAACTTCACATACAATAATCAAAACAAGTCAAAAACAGATCTCTGCTGAATTACAGCTAATGTTCGCTTTCTTGTTTAAACCTTGATGAACTGTTAGTGTTTACTCTTAGCTTTCATGAACAGGTGATTCTTAGTCTCACATTTGATCCTGATGTCTCATGACCAGGATTCTAGACTTCTCTAGTGTCGTAGAGGAAGGAGTGCAGCCTCGCTGTGTGCACATCACATATTACAGAGACTGCAGCCTCAGAGGACAGTCTAAGGAAATCGAACTGAGGAATCTGAATAAAGGCCCAACTGATAGGAAGAAAACACAAACAGTTGCCATTAGCTAGCTCTGAGTTGTAAGAGGACCAATCACTGATTAGTGTGCAAAATAATCCACAAGCTGATAAGGAAAGGACTGGGAGAAAATTAGAAAGGATAAAACAATATCCCTTAACCTCATCGCCCCCAAACCCCCGCCCTTGAGCCCGCCATTGCCCCTGGTAACTTCTGCTGTTTCTCTAAGATTGATTTTGTTATGTTCTAATGTAGTTGAGGTCATAAAGAATCAGAGTGCCTTCTTGGCCTAGGTCAATTTAGAAATCACTACCTTGAAATTACTGCAAAAAGTGGTCCCCAAAGGTCCAGAGCATAACCACAAGCTGGCCACCAGCCACACACTCCCCTAGTGCCCAGGGTGGATAGCCTCTTACCTTACAGACAAAAGCTACCACCAAGGAAGGGTCCCTACCACCAACTGTCCGGCTGACACCTGCAGAAAAACACATTGATCAAACAAGGTGAGTCTGAAGTGGGCTGACCATCACTATCCCAACACAAAGATTGGGAGACCCTGATACTCCCACCAGACCCTTCAGGTCCTATATGTACGTATGTTAGATTTCAGTAAATTATGCAGAATACAAAATTCCAACCACAATGGCAAGCAAATATATTTTTTAGTGGCCTACTTACTAAATAGTGAAGAGAGAAAAAAAATGATTGTTTTATATACAGAGAATAGTCAAAGTAAAACAAAAGCTAAAAAGTCAGCAGGGAAAATCTTTATCCTAAGCCATCCAGAAAAGGAGAATGTTCCAGGTTTGTCATGTCTTGGTCATCAGATAGACTAACTGCTGGGCAGGAGGAACTTGTCCAATCCTAGAGTAGTCCACAATTCCTACGATATAGCTTCCCAGTAGGTTGTTATTTTGAAGGAAAAGGGGGGGTCAATCCATTCATTCAGTGGTCTGTTCCACTAGCTTGGTTGTTCAACTTTCTGCACTTAATTAATGCTCCATTAATGAAAAGCCCACTGTACCAGTGGGTAAGCCAGGCCCTGAGCTCCACCAGGTGAGCTGAACACCAGTGCCAGGACTTGAGGGCTGCAACTGGCAAGTTCTGTCATCTTTCTGAGCACACTTCCCACTCTCCACCCAGATCCAGGCACGTGTGCCAAGGAAGAGGTTTGTGCTTACAAATGTAGCTTTTCCTGACTTTGAGCATTCAACAAGGGAACTATGTTAGGTTAAGTAAGCCAGATACAAAAAGGCAAATAATGTATCCTCTCCTTACCTAAATCTAAAGTATCAATACAATAGAAACAAAGTAGAAAGTTGGGGGTGGGGGGTGAGTGGGTATGAGAGAAGATGTTAGTAAAACAATACGAAGTTTCCGCTAGGCTACCAATAAATTTTAGTGATCTACTGCTTGTACTACAAAGTGACCACAGTTCATGGTAATGTTTGTTTCAAAATTGCTAATATCGGGTTCAGCACTTACCTGACATGAACAAGGTTCTGACTTAGGTCCCCAGGCATGGAGGGGGAGGGGAAAGGGAAGACTGCTTTTAAAAGATTGTTTATTTATTTATTTATTAGCTGCTGGTTCTTAAGGACTGGAGCTCCTGCTGCACTTTTTCCCTGAAGCCTGGTACTCTACCATTTGACCACAGCTATACTTCTGGCTTTCTGCTCATTAACTCGAGATAGGAGTCTCATGGATTTGTCAGCCTGGACTGGCTTCAAATTTTGATCCTCAGATTTCAGCCCCTTCGGTAGCCAGGCTTAAAAATTGATTTTTTAACATTTTACCCCCAAATATAGTAAGTTAGTGAGGTGACAACTATAACAATCTGAGTCTTTCTACATAGACCACTACATCTCATTGTACCCCAAATATGCACTGTCATTATGTTATTGAAAGATTAATCTGAAAAGAGGCAGAAAGCACTAAGAAAGCACGTTCATTTATACCATTGCCATCTGGAAGGTGCTGTTCATGTTTGGTTGCTGTAGAGTCTGGAGATCGATTGGGGCTGTCCCTGCTGAGACGTCTTTCTGGACTCTGTGATATGAGGTCTTCTGCACATCTCTGTTCACCTGGGCAGCACAGGCAACCATAAGATTACACACCACACATCTGCGTACAACCTGGCCCCGGGGTTGGCAACACTAAACAAATCAGCCCATCCTTTTACTACAGTAGTAAAGTAGTTACCAACCCACCCACTCACTGGGTGTACATCTTAATCATCTTTACGCTTCTGCTTAGTTCAGAGCCTTGCCCACAACAAGGAGCCAACAGTGCCTACTAAACAAAAAGCAAGCAGGCTGTGGGAGATTTATTTAAAGACATAGGTCCAAAGGGTACCCACCTCCATAGGAGCCTAATTCTGCAGCTAGTTAAATCACAAAGTCAGGGAAAGACCTTTTGTAGCTCTGAGAAGCTCAAGCTCCATATAGGATCCATGCTTGCAAAAAGCCAAAAGTGGAGCTATGGCTCAAATGGCAGTCTACCAGCCCTTAGTGGATAAACTGACACTTGAGTTCAAGTTCAGACCTTGAGTTCAAGTCCCAGTATGGCACAAAAATAAAACCTCCAAAAATAGCTGGATACAGGTTCATACCTGTAATCCTAGCTACTCAGGAGGCTGAGATCTGAGGATAACAGTTCAAAGCCAGCCAGAACAGGAAAGTCCATGAGACTCATACCTCCAATTAACCACCACAGAACCAGAAGTGGTGCTGTGGCTCAAAGTGCTACACCACTCCTTGAGCAAAAAAGTTCAGGACAGTGCCCAGGCCCCAAGTTCAAGCCCCACAACTCACACGCCTACTCTCTCTCTCTCTCTCTCTCTCTCTCTCTCTCTCTCACACACACACACACACACACACAAAATATAGCACTTAGGCACTTCCTCTGTGGCTAACAAACCCAAAGCAATCAATGTTGAAATCTGACTGCAATATATTTCCTACTAACCCTTGAATACATACCAAAACTCAATCACTACCATTATGCTTAAGTTCAACATGTCTGTTCCCAAGAGGATCAGCTCCTGAAGGGCAGGAACCACATCTGAGTTTCACAACTAAATGTTCTAACTGTGGTCAGAACATAGACCAGGACACCCCAGGCCAGTTTCCACAGTGGTTCCTGGTTCACCGACAGCTGCCGCTCCGGCAATCTGGCATTCACACTCACTGTGTATGGGGACCTGGTGAACAGTCATGGTCTCATCCTTGTATTCCGGAGCCGTGTGTGGCCGCACAGCTAAAAGAAAAACGCCAGTCAGGAAGAATGTGCCAGTCAGGAGAAAGGTGCACATCAAGAGAAATGTGCAAGTCAGGGGGAATGCACAAGTCAGGAGAAACACAGTAGCAAAATGTGTGCAAATGAAACTTCCCAAACCGTCAAACTCAGCAACTGAACTGGTCCAGAATTACAGTAGGAATTGGTCAATAAAACCAGAATTTTTCATTTCACATCAATGAAGCATTTGATTAAGCTTTGATTTAAGCTAGCCTCTAATGATTCTTAATAGGAAAAGCAGGGCCTAAATAAGAAAGAAGTACCAGATACATACCCAGGTCTATGCCTTTTAAAGGACCTGAAAATATTTTAATTGCTTCTAGGTATTTTTCCTAAAAAAATAAAATTAAATAAATAAATAAAATATAAGAAAATGAACAAGTTAAATACAGAAACCAACATATATTCAAACATGTCAGTAGACCCAAAAGCTATTAACATGAAGCAAACACTTCATTAGTGTTTCAAACTTCAAACCTCAATATACAAACAGTTTTTTTTTTTTGGGTCCAGTCGTGGGCCCTGAACTCTGGGCCTGGGCGCTGTCCCTCAGCTCTTCAGCTCAAGGCTAGCACTCTACCACTTGAGCCACAGCGCCACTTCCAGCTTTTTTTTTTTTTTGCTTATGTGGTGCTGAGTAATCAAACCCAGGGCCTCATGCATGCAAGGCAAGCGCTCTACCACTGAGCCACCTTCCCAGCCCCAACAAACAGTTATTGTATTTACTATCTATTAGATTCCTCGGAGTTAGCAGGGCAAAAGAAACCAAAGAAGACAACAACAAAACAAGTAACACAAATCACTTGCTCTGCAAGAGACATGCAAACTGCAAAGGAAATAAAGGCTCAGAACAGACCCCGGCAGAGAGAAGAGGAGGCAGCAGATCTCACGTTTGAACAAAAGCTCTGAGATGGGCAGGTGCCCTTGAGGGGCAGAGGGTGAGTCTGCCCTGGTAGCTCACTAGAGCATGGTATAAAACACAGAACTATAAGCAAGGGCCTGGGTCTATGGGACTTGGAGATCATATAAAGGTAACCAAATTGTATTGCAATGGAGAGCCCTAAAGCATTTTAGGCTGGGAAATGAGGCCTGCACTTAAGTCTTTTCTCAAAACAGGTCACTCTGGCTGCTTGTGATGGATGGTTTATACAAGTGACAGACAGGTCACAATGGCCTCGAGGAGAGGGAGACAAATGGATGGATTCAGACATAATGGCAGAATTAACAGAACTTGATGCCTGGTAGGAAGATGTCTGAAATTTAATGAAGCTATCATTCAAGTCCTGGGTGGGACTCAAGAGGTAGAGCACTGACCAAGCAAAGCTAAGGCCATGAATTCACTCTTCATTACCATAAATAAATAATGCTATCACCCATGAAGTACTGACTTGGTACCAAATATTCAATAAAGCAATTTAGCACTTTATGTGTCATCTCACTGGATATTTAATAGCTTTTTGAAACAAAACAGGCATTTACCGATAAAGCAACTGAGGTTCTCATTTAAGGTCCCACAACTGGTAAAAGGTTTGAGCTCAAGCTTGCTGGATTTGAATAGAAAAGTGTTTGCTCCACGACCAGGTATGTGTGAAGGACAGAAGTCTACTTTTCAAAAATAAAAATTCTTGTGATTCTCACTAAACTAAAAAAGGAGGAACTGGTTTTTTTTCTGGGCGAGCCAGAGAAGACTCACCAGTTGTGGAGGTCCAGAGAGCACACACTTCGGAAGCCCAGTTTCCTTCAAAGTAAGAATCATTCCTACAAAGGAGGAATAAAGTGAGATCCTTCATCACCTTGACTTGTAATGGCGGCCAGCAGCGGCACCACTGACTTCTCTGGGTCACTTGTCTACGTGTCTCTATTCCAGCTTCAGACCAGTCGTGAGGTCAGGCTTGCACAGCTGGAAAGATGCCGGCAAGTAAAAGGGTTGCTCATAGGAGCTCATGCGATGGGCAATCACTGTTGATGTTGATGCAGTGATGTCTTTGACATGCAAAACTCAAGTAGGTGTCTGCTCCCACAGTTGTGCAAATAAGGGTGACAGACTCTTATACTTTGCACCCCAGGTACCTCATGCCCCACATCAGCTATGAATATGGGGATGACTCTAGTACCATGCTCCTTCCTACCTATATCACCGCCCCTGTAAAAACCAGCTGCAGCAAGCTTGACTTGGAGAGGAAGAACAGATGGCTGTGGAGGGTTGCTAACAGGATTCATGAGAAACTGGCTGACTTTTCCTTTTTTTTTTTTCTTTTTTTTTTTTTTTGGTGGTCATAGGCTTGAACCCTGGGCCTGGGTGCTGTCCCTCAGCTCTTCAGCTCAAGGTAAGTACTCTACCACTTGAGCCACAGTGCCACATCTGGTTTTCTGGTGGTTAACTGGAGATAAGAGTCTTATGGACTTGCCTGCCCAGCCTGGCTTTGAACTGCAATCCTCAGATCTCAGCCTCCTGAGTAGCTAGGATTGTGGCATGAGCCACTGGCACCCGGTATAACTTTTCTTTTTAAATTCTTACTATTACGTAGCTGTACAAAGGGGTTATGATTCCCTATGTCGGGTTATGAATAAATGCTTTTTGGTCAATGTCATCCTTTCCTTCGTTCTCCCCCATTAACTTTAATCCACCACCACTGACCCATTCCAGCTAAATCTCTGGCCTGGTAACCCAAGAAATCAAGTAGATGGCCATACCTGGAACTGCTCTTCTGAGTCCAGTAATGATGGGCCTACCATAGCTTCCTAGACTGGCATACAAGAAAATTCCTGCTCCCTTGTCCTCAGAAAAGGGTCCAAATAAGAGAAAGATGAATTGAGAGCCTCCCTTTGTTGGCCCTGCCTCTGCAAAGAATATACTTACCACACAAGCCCCCAACATTAGCCCAGTGCATTCGTGTCAGGAATATGTTGTCCAAGCGAGCAACTTTCAGTCTAGAAAAGAGAACAAACATTTACAGCAGGATGAATGGGACTACTTCTGCTATTAAAACACACATGCCTCCTACCCCACCTTTCCAACCCCATAATCATCTCCACTCCAGAAGCAAAACTGACTCACTTGTGTTCCTGCATGAGTCTCTGGATGCCTTCTCCACAATTGAAGAGATACCTACAGAGGAAACAAGACCATACTCACAGGGGTATGTTCTGTAAGATCTCCTGACATTGCCTGGGGCCAGTGGCTCAAGCCTGTAACCCTAGCTACTGGGGAGGACATGATCTGAGAAAAGTGATTTGAAGCCTGCCTGGTAGCAAAGTCCATAAGAAGCTATTCTTCAATTAACCACCTTAATAACTCTGGAAATGGAGCTGTGGCTCCAGTGATAGAGCACCAGCCTGGAGTGGAATAGCTAAAAGACAGTACCCAGGCCCAAGTTCAAACCCCAGGACCAGCACACACGCACGCACACACACACACACACACACACACACACACACACACACACACAATCAATCAATCAATCAATCAATCTCTGAAACCTGTATTTTACTGTAGACTCACTCAACCAAACAACCCAAACCGATGAGGTTGCAGTAACTGCCCTGCATCTCTGCTATTCGGCTACGAAGCTCTCAATCCTCCTCGGGGGAAGATAGGGAGGGGCTGGTGGGAGTGGGGGCGAGATAGGGCCTAGTCCATCCACCCCCACCCAGCTATGAGGGCCCGGCTTTGGGGTGCACGGAAGGAGGGTGCTGCTTGGCTTGCCAAGAACCCTGAGAAGAGAATGCTCACATCCGGGTCGAGATCTCCACATGGGGACGGTGCGGACCACGCGCGATCGCGAGCCTCTGGAGTTACCTGCGCTGGCAATGACAACCACCCCCGGAGGAGTCGCGGTGCTGGGGGGCCCGGGAGGATGGGGGGGGGGGGGCTGAGGGACGGAGGGGAATGGAGGAAGGGGGCGGGCGGAGGGGAGCTGACTGACCGGTTGTACTCGGAGAAGACATAGAGCGCAGCGCCCACATCCCTGCCGCCCGCGGCCACCACCTGCAGGTACACCGTGTTGGGGCTCCCGGGCTCCCAGGACGCGCCCCGCTTCTCCCGGGTGCGCAGGTGTCGAAGCGGGTCCTTGGGGGGCCGCTGGCGGCGGGCGGGCCCCTGTGACATGGCGCGCCCGGCCCCCGACCGCAGCAGCCTGCACAGCGCCCACATGCGCCCCGTTCAGCCCGGCCTGGGTGACCACCGCACGCGGGCCGCCGGCACCGCCCAATCAGCGCCCCGCAACACGAGCGGCCCGCCCTCACGAGGCTACGCGTCCAATAGAAAGGAGCCTCGGCGCACTGTGCTTGTCACCCGGCTGCGGCCATAGAGTGGAGGCAGGCTAGAGCGTCGGAACAGGCCCCGCCCTTTGCCCTAATTCCGGTTTTTCTAATGCTAGTTTTTTCTTCCCCCCCGGAACTTGACCTACACCTGGGGCGGGACTTCCGCGCTGATGCATACTGCCTTCTGAGAAGCAAGTAAGACTTAGTACCTCTGTCAGTGGCTGAGGAGAATTTTCCCTTGAGAGGGATCAAGGTTAAAGCCACGGGAGATGAAGGGTGCTTCCTTAAATAAGGGGAGTGATTTACCTGGGAACCCTACTCAGATGTGAAAATGGATCTGTTTAAGAGTACCACTATCAGCTGGGAATGTGGCTTAGTGGTAGAGTGCTTGCCTAGCCTGCATGAAGCCCCTGGGTTCGATTCCTCAGTATCCCATAAACAGAAAAAGCTGGAAATAGCACTGGCTCAAGTGGTAGAGTAAAAGAAGCTCAGGGACAGTGCCCAGGCCCTGAGTTCAAGACCCAGGACTGGCAAAAAGAAGGAGGAGGAGGGGGAGGAGACTCTGTGTGGAGACACTTTCCACCTTTAGAGGATGTATGCACTACAGAGATTAGGATACTGCTGTTGATTTAGAATAAAACCTAGTCAAGAACAAAGAGAGTTATTCAAGGCAATGTTTTTAGTGCTAAAGTCAAGGGCTTAAAATTACATCATTTGTTAGTCTGGAGTTAGGATCTTGATGACCAAAGTTAAGCTGTGGGCAGGCAAAGGTGCCTGCATTCACCTCTGTGTACCCATTCCGTCAGGCTGGAATTCTTCACATGGCAGCCAGCTCCCAAGAGAGTGGGGTGAAACCAGAAATTCTGAAGGATTAGGCCCAGAAGGCAAAAAAAAAACTCCCAGGCAACATCCACCCAGATTCAATGCAAAGGAAAAATAAAACTCCTCCTTTTGGAGACAGTTTCAAAGTCACAGTGCAAAATAGCACGGAGATTGGGAGTAGCTAGGCTTCCTAGAGCCACTGATTGAAACTAAGCTTTTAGATCCCAACTCTAAGCTTCAGGAGTTCCATGTTAGGTCTGGGCACTCACTCCCTCGTGTCAAATAAAGAGACGTGGTGAAGGGCAGAAAAAGGAGATTTCTTTTTTTATATAAATTTTAGTATTTTTTCTTTACAAGTCACCGATGTTACTCTGTTGACAGAATTTTTTTTTTTGTTGGTCCTGGGGCCTGAACTCTGGGCCAGGGCACTGTCCCTCAGCTCTTCAACTCAAGGCTAGTGCTCTACCACCTGAGCCACAGTGCCACTTCTGGCTTTGAGAAAGGAGATATCTTATGTGGCAGCCATGGGAAGACAGAGCTTCAGTACATCGTTAGCCATCTTCAGGGGTGCAGACATTGGCTTTAGATTCAAGTAGGGAGAATTGGAGACAGACAATGAGAAAGGTCTGCAGAGTTCAAACAAGTCACAAGTATGACCTGGTTGACCATTAGCTCAGCCTTTGATTCCGCAGGCTTTTGCAAGCAGTCTGTTCTCTTTAAGATGATAGAGGAAGATACTGTCTGATGAGGGGCAGTTTGCCTTCTATCACAGGATGCCGATCTGTGAGTCCTGTGTTTCCTGGAGCCCAAGCTGATTGTGAAATGACTGCAGGAAAGAGTGGCTCAGATCCAAGAGCACAGAAGCAAAGTGTGAGAACACTGAGTGTTGAGTGTTTCGTTAATTCACAGGCCCCACTAAAGCAGCTTTCCAGTTGCCTCTTACATTGCCAGGAAGAACAAGCCAGTGTGAACCCCTGTGAAGGTGTTTTTCACATATGTATAATTACCATTTACAACTTGGCTTCCCTGTGGGCTCTGCAGTTATGATACACATTTACACCTGTGAGTGTGGTCATTGCTGGGGTGTTCATGTTAGAATTTGTGTGCCCACACCTGACGTACACAGTTGTCAACTTTCTGCCGCTGTGACAACATACCTGAAATAACAAAGGAAGAAAGATTTACTTTAGCTAGTGGATTAGAAGGACACAGCCAAGGTCACTTGGTCTGGTTGAGTCAGGGACTGAGAGGAGGCAGTGCATCATGGTGGTGACACATGGCTGAGCAAAGCAGCAGGGAGAGGGAGAGGGATCAAGGACAAAATATGAGCATCAAGGGCACACCCCAGTGTCCTATGTATCCCGAATGTCCCACAATCCTCCCCCCTAAAGTTTCTACCACCTCCCTATGGGTGATAGATTTATAAAATGGCTCCATTTCATCAGGTCAGAGTCCTCATGACCCAATCATCCCTCGAAGGCTCTATCTAGCGGTGAGATGTCACTCAGTAGTAGACACTTGCCTAGAAAAAAAAAAAGATTAATTAAAAGAAAAGGAGGGGAGGAAACTAGAAAGACACCAGCTCAGAATATTGGCACACTGGAATCAACCCCTTCAACACATGAGCTCATTTGGGACAGCTGAGATTACAGCCTAGCCCAGGGTACAGCTGAGGGCAACCATTAGGGAGTCGGGGATACAAAGTGATGGGCCTCACATGTGGCAGCTGACGCGTGTCCCATCATGGCGATTCTGATTCCCATAGTACCTTGGGCTTCCGCTCAAATGCTTCTTCCCATGATGCCCTGGGCAGCCACCCATGGGACCAATGAAAAGAGCCCTGGGCAGCACATATGCACACCATCAAGCAATCAGCACAAAGCCAAAAGAAGAATATATAGGAGGGCAGCTGATTGTGTTCCTGCAGTCCCCTCTCTGGATAAGAAGGTTTTGCTTTTGTGGCTTTACTTTTACTTTAAAATAAACTTACTCTTGTCTACCTTAAGCACTTCCCTGCCTTTTTATTAGTTAAGGGTAGAATCCTTTTCCCTAGATGCCCATAGCCAATCATGTATTCATTCAGCGAGCCTGTGTGCACAGAGCACATGTTTGATTCTAGGTAGAGTCATGCACCTTATAATGGTATTTTGGTCATCAATGGGGTGCACGTGACGGCAAGTCCTTAGGATTGTATCTCTGAGCGACATCTTTTCTGCCAGGCTGGGTTCAAACCTCAGTCCTCCAGATCTTATTCTCTTGAGTAGCAAAGATGACAGAGGTGAGCCACCAGCCGCCTGGCTCATATGTTGTCTTTAAGCAATGAATGCTGGTGCTGAACAAAAATCTTTGGTGTATTTATACAAGTTCAGTGACCTGTGGTCCCTCCAAATCTCAGAAAGCTGACATTTTGAGGGCAAGAATGAAGGTGTGGTCCCAGACATATGGGAATGAAACATTGGTGTATGTTTGGGACTTTGATGTTTTATACTGTAGAAATCAGATGACTTTTTAGCCATAGTGTTACTGAAGGATGTTTTATTTTTATTTTTATTTTATTTATTTATTTATTTATTTATTTATTTTGGTCCAGTTGTGGGGCCTGAACTCTGGGCCTGGCCACTGTCCCTCAGCTCTTCAGCTCAAGGCTAGCGCTCTACCACTTGAGCCACTTTTTGCTTATGTGGTGCTGAGGAATCGAACCCAGGGCCTCATGCATGCAAGGCAAGCACTCTACCACTGAGCCACCTTCCCAGCCCAGGATGTTTTATTTTTTTAAAACAAAAGTCATCTCGAAACTAATTCATGTAACCTACCAAAGCCATAGTATAAAAGCACTCTTGGGCCCCTAAAATGGTTCTCAAACTGAATTTTTCTTTTTGGTGGTGGTGGTGATGGTGGTGGTTGTGGGGCTTGAACTCAGGGCCTGGACGCTGTCCATGAGATTTTTTTCTGCTCAAAGCTAGCACTCTACCACTTTGAGCCATGAGCCACAACACCATTTCCAGTTTTCTAGTGGTTAATTGGAGATAAGATTCTCATAGACTTTCCTGCCTGCAGCTGGCTTTGAACCATTATCCTCAGATCTCAGCCTCCTGAGTAGCTAGGGTTATAGGTGTGAGCCACTGGCACCCAGGTCCTATTGTTGCATTCTTATTTGTGGAAAGATATTTTGTGTTTCCAGGAAGAGTACACATTCTAGACTCTGGTGGTGGTGGTGTTTTAAAAATGATTTGTACTACTAGGGTTTGAACTTGTGCTTGCTAAGCAGGCGCTCCGCTATAAGCCATACCTTCTACTCTCCTGTGATACAATTTTTTAGTATAATGGGAGTTAACAAGAAGGAAGAATTGAGAGGAGACAGGGGAAGGGAGAAGGAAGGGGAAAAAGGAAGGAAAGGGGGGAGGGAGGGAGAAGGGAGAGAGGGAAGAAGAAGGATGAGAGAAGACAGAAAGAGGAGAAGAAAGGAAGAGAAAGGAAGAAAAGCTGGCTGCATCTGGCTCAGTCTCTGGGGGCTGGCAGCTTTGTCCTCATGCCTCTCAAGCCCTTTTTTTTGGGGGGGGGGGTCCAATCATGGGGCCTGAACTCTGGGCCTGGGCGCTGTCCCTCAGCTCTTCAGCTCAAGGCTAGCACTCTACCACTGGAGCCACAGCACCACTTCCGGCTTTTTTCTTTTTGCTTATGTGGTGCTGAGGAATCAAACCCAGGGCCTCAGGCATGCAAGGCAAGCGCTCTACCACTGAACTACCTTCCCAGCTCTCTCAAGCCCTTTTCATCTCTTGATCTTAGCATTAAACCCAGTGGGAGCCCAGCAGATATTTGCTGATACCATCCAGGACTTGCCCAGTATCAGTTTGCTTGAGTTTCCATCACTGACTTTGGCAGAGTGGATGGCTTAACCACTGGCAATTTATTTCTTCATGGTTCTGGGGCTGGACATCCAAGATCAAGGTTTTGGCAGGGCCGGTTTCTCCTGAGACCCCTCTTCCTGGCTGGGGCCTTCTCTTTTGCTTTGTCCACTAGTAGCTTTCCCTTTGTACACTCAACCCTGGTGCCTCTGTGTGTGTGTGAATCTCTCCTGATAAGCACACTAGAGAGCATGGTTATT